AAAAAAAAAAATTTATATAGAAAAGAATGTGGAAAAAAGAAAAGTGCTTTTAGCGGCTAAACTCTAAGCATATGTTATTATCAGTGAAAATTTTTGCAAAAATATGAAATAAAAAAATTCCAAAAAAAAAAAAACAGAGCATCTTTTTTCTATTGAAGTTCAAAAATTTAATTTTCCAATACGTACTGTCGGCTTCTCTGAAATTTTGACAAATAGTAAAATAGAGGAAATTGTTAGAGGAGAGTAAAAATTGCTGTTTTTTTTTTGCTGGTTGAGCATCTTTAAGTTTCAGTTTAACCTAACACATTATCTTTGAAAAAAAAAAAAAAAAAAAGGAAGAAGAAAGGAAAAAATAAAAGATAAAGGTGCAGTTAGCAAAAAATACTATTAACTTGTAACAAAAAAAGTCTTCCTTTGGTTTGTTCTCCTATTTTTGTTCCAAAAAAGTTACCCACATACATTACTGTTGACTTCGGTAGCGAAAAAAAAAGAGGAGAAAAAAGCTTGCAAAATTTTTGCTGAAAAATTTTGATATTACCCATTCACTGTCAACTCAATAAAAAAAAAACCACCAACTGATAACCAAATAACCAATTGACTCCGTCCGATAAACTGATATATAAAATTACTTCTAATGTATTGCAGTTCTGGTAAGTAATTCAAAAAATAAATAAATAATAAATAAATAAGTAAAGTAGAATAAAACAAAATTAATAAAAATAAATTGAAGGAAAAAAATTCTAAAACTTTTTTTTGCTAATAATGCCGCTAATTTTTTAACTTTTTTTTTTTCTTTTTTGCTGTGAATCTTTTTAGTTTTTTGGTGTTTTAGCATAGTTCTCTTTAAAACGACATTTATTTTCTCAACTTTTCAGTTTAATATACAACTTCTTTTTCCTTTTTCTTTTTTTTTCTTCTTCTTTTATTAAGACTTTCCTTCTCCTAACAACAGACCACCTCAGTTAAGTGGTCATTTTGTGCGAAGATGAAAAAAAAAAACTAACAAAAGACGAAAAAGAAAAGAAAAC